AAATAGATGTCATTAAAACTTACCTGAAAACTTATCAGGCGATATGCAGTATATGACTGTATGGGTATTTAATGAAAAGTTACAATTTATCCACCTTAAAATAAAGACAATATGTCAAGTGTTAACTGTAGAATTTCTGTGCGTCCAGCTAGACTCTTCTCGCTTGCACAAAAATAATTTATTCATGTTTCTCACATGAAATACCCTTGCCATTTATATATATATATATATATATATATATATATATATATATATATATATATATATATAATTATGATTTGATTTGTTACGTATAATACATAGACATTTCTACTGGCTAGCTGCTAAATGAACTGGGAAAATAGGATCGTAGCATACATACACAACACTAAATAGCACTGATTTTCCTATGTTTTGTCATATTTTTAGTGCTTCATAAAATTGTAGCGATATAATCCGTTGAACATTATGAATCGGCAAAAGATGCGAGAATATGCACCAGAAAGAATAAGATATAGGTAAAGAACCAGAGAAAAAAAGAATTGTGATTATTGAGAGAAATAGATTTGCCAGCAGATCAGGTGACACTATGGTTGAGATACCTTAAAACAAAATAAACCAAACCAAAATCAGTAGAGCAGTATTCAATGAAGGGCAACGTGATATTTTTCTTAGATCAAGAAAGGATGAGACATCAAAATCGGCAACAGAATACTGGCTATAAGCAGCGTATATCTGTAACAGCAAAGAAATATGGCTTACAGACAAGAGATAATATAGATGGTATGCAGTACGTCGGGTATATTCAGCTACAAAGGGAAATAGTTCAGTACAGGAGCATGAATCAGAGATTATATAGACAGAAATTTATCGGCAGAAATCCCAATTTAAATATATGATCCTATTCTTCATGGTTTAGTTTTAAAAAGTGTATGATTCATAGGCCAGGTGGGACAATTTATCTCTCATCCCCTTGCATCGAAAATCTCAAGAACTTTAGGGAAGAAACGTTGTTAAATATCAATGGCTAATCAGAATACCGAAGACGTAACATAAGAATAACTGTACAGGTTGGACGTCATTCTGCTGATAATTGGAATGTTGTACCTTTCAATGCTTATTTGCTCAAGAATTAATGTGGAGATATGTTCTTCAATGCAAAGTATCGAATACATCTTCAAATATGTATAAAAATGACACGACTGGGTGAGAATTAACATAGCTGCTAATGGTGAACAAAATCAAACATTTCATGACAAAATTATAAATCAACCAGTTCATGACGAAAATTGCAAATCAGCTAGTTCATGATGAAATCACAAATTATCTATCCTACTGTTATGTTTCCCCTCTAGAATCAAGATTCACAACACATCACACACCGTTTACAGAGTTCACCATGAAAATCATCAAAGGGTCTATTTTCGCAGAGGTAACGTCCAGCATGCTGCAGAAGTACAGCGTGGACGTGACACGATTCTCACAACTTTGCTCAAACTAAACGAGAGTGATCTTGATGAACGTATTTATTTCTACCCCGAAATTCCAATGTATTACGTTTTCAATGAAAATACAAGTGCACAAGACGTCCAGAAGAAGAATCTAAAACATTAGTCAATATATGGTCAACCCGAGAGGTATGGAAAAAAATCATTTACGCATGTTCCTACTTCAATTGTGCATGTTCCTATTTCAGATGCAAAATATTTTGAAGAGTTGCAGTAGACGGTGAAACTTTTCCCACATTTAAAGATGCTTGCATGCGGCTTGGGTTTTTAGAGAATAACGCAGAAATAAAATACGTATTAGCTGAGTCAATTACATGCCGCATACCATCTGGGCTTCATGTTATGTTTTGATACATTGTGCGTCTACGCAATGCCAGGAAAGGATTCACATTTATTGAATGCTTGCAAGGATTTTATGGCAAAATATTTTTTTTACATCAAGGACTAAATATTGAGAATGCAGAAAATATGGCTTTTCAGGCTATAAATGACGTTTTCAAGGTAAATAATACACGATGCCTACAAATCGAATTGCCTGAGCCGTTTTGTAATTAAGCTGTTTGCTCTTAAATATTAGGTCAATCCCGCGGACATTACCACTCTCACTAATGAGCAAAAGCAGATGACGAATTCTGCAACTGACAAAGTTGGAAAGTAGGAGAATGGCAAAATAATTGAATGTTCCTGCTTTTACGTATATGATCCTGGAAGCTATTGGAAAACATATATGTTTAATACATTAATGTCTAACTTCCAGGGAAACAACTATGAAATTTACAGCAGTGCCTGAACTGGTACAGCATGTACATTTCTCTTAAAAGAAAGAACAATACACAGTTTATTGAAGTTGTTATACCCAGTAACAGAAACAAGTATTTGCAACATATCTTCTATAAACGAGCAGGCAAATTATTTGATTAATATGGACTTGATCATTCTGGATGAAGTATCAATGACTCCATCTTTTGCTCTGCAAGCAATTGAAATGTCTGAAAGATATAACTGACATTAACGATATTTTCGATGGAAAGTGTATACTTTTGGGCGGAGATTTCAAACAGCGTGAATATGGAAGGTTTTCTTTACATGAAATGAATGCGTTAGTAAGAATGAATACTACCACTTTATATCTTAAACATATTACAACCAAGAAACTACATCTGTGGTCCAACATAAATTTAGGTAAGATGAAAAATATAACGGATCACAGACAAAACTTAAGTCAATATTAATAATCACTCAAAAAACAGTAATCAATATAAAAGAAAAATAAAATTTTTGCGTTTTATATGGATTTATATATACATAAAATAAAGGGTGATGTGGATAAATTGTCGTCTAAATTGCGCAAACATCAAAATAACACATCTCATTTTAACAGATATATTTACCAAAATTACACAAAACTATCTATAAATACTAAAGAGTAAATTTATTCAATAAAATCGCCATTGGTTTCAATCACAGCCTCTAAGACGACTTCGGAATCTCCTGCAATTCTTCTGTGCGATCTCCTTGTTTAAGTTGTTGAATACTGCCATAATCCTTGCCTTCAGTTCATCTTTAGTGTTACAAGGAGTTTTGTTGGTCTCTAGCCCAACTACGCCCCATACGTAATAATCAATGGGATTGCAGTCTGGGGCGTTCGGTGGCCAGCTGTAAGGAGTGATGTGGTCGCAGAAATTGTCTGGCCAGCCATGACTGGGTTCTCCTGCTTGTGTAGCATGGTGCAGAGTCCTGTTACCAGATATAGGTTTTTCAGCAACAACCCTCTTGATTCAGGGTAGCACTACCTCCTCAAGGCACTTGATGTAGTCCTCCGTTTTGAGTCTGAGGCCCTCACCAACAAATTCGGGGGTTCTTTTTTTTATCGGAACGATGAAAGTGAGTTTTCCGAGCTTCTGCACCTTCGTAATCGCCATTAGACTCATCCAACTCTTTCCGAATCCTATTCACGATCCTCAGATTGACACCCAAACAAGCTGAAATGTTCGAATTTAAGCTTCCGGTGCGAATGCCAAGCAGTATAGCATGCCGTTTCCAAATGAATGAATTGCGTCATGGTAATGGTACTCTATTTCTCACAGACCGTGCCCAGCTGACTCTACTATACTGTGCAGTCGACAAAATCAAAAACAAACAATGCGCATCTGCGAAATTAATAATATAAAATGGCGACAATTTACCCATTACACCCTGTATAAGTCTTTTGTTAGTTGTATATGTATATATTATACTAGCAGAAGTATCCGGTCCATGACCGGATTAAAAGTAGTTTAGAAACAACAGGGAGTGAGAGAGGTAAAAAGGTTTTGAGTTACACTGATTAAAAAATAATTTATTTTGTTCTTTTAAGACATAAGAAAGTAATAATAAAAATCAAAGAATAAGAAATACTTCAAGAGTGCCGGCGTTTTTTAGTATGTATCTTAAAAAATAGTTTGAGTTTACACTGATTTAAAATTAATTTTAACGGTAAAAGCTAAGAATTCGGGTATTACAATATTCTTTTATTTTAGGTTTTGTTTGGCTGAGTGACAGTAATAAAAATGGATTCTTTTAAATTTATTTTCTCTTTTTACCCTCTAAACATTTAACAATAAAAAGTTAATTAAAAATTTGTCATTTTCAGGTGGAAAATTTAGCATATTGATTCAAATAGAAAGTATTCGTTTATCCTAGAAATAGTTTTTCCTTAAACAAAATGTTTTTAACTTACACCAATTAAAAATTAATTTATTTTGTTCTTTTTCTTTAACCTCTAAAATGTAACAATATAAACAAAGAGTCCTTATTTGTATTCAAATGAAAATTATTCATTTAAAAATCAGGTTTTGAGTTAGTGATAAACAATGTATTTGTTTAATTTGTTTTTTTGTTTTTTTTGTTAAGTTTTTTTTTTTTTTACCCTCTAAAAAGTATCAATGCGTAGGTACGATAAAAAGAAGCTAAGAATTAAAAATGTACAATTTCGCGTAGTCCTGTTTTTACATTTAAAATAGTATTTAAAAACATTTGAAGATTTGCTTTAGGTCTCCAATAAAGTAAGTTTTTTTTTTTACATTTAGTACTAAATTACAAAATATTAATTTTAGGAAGATCATTTAATTCAAATTTTGTATTTACTTTCGAAGATTTTCGCATTGGAATCTGTGTGATGTTTAAATATGACGGTTCTTAAGAAGAACTTGTACTTACTGGAAAAAAAAACTTGTAAAGAGTTCCACAAATCGATTGATTTTTAATTATTGAATTATATCATTTAATCAGTAAGAATCAAAAACTAATTTTTTTTTACTTTTCATATTAAAGTGTATGCGCGAGTTTAACATTCAGTGGCATCTCTTTTTTGAGATATAAGTCGACATGTACCAAAAAAGCTGACACGACTCCTTTATAATATAGATATATAAAACTAAAGAGGTCATAGAAGATATTTCAGCCTCCCACTATAAAACATCCAGCATAAATTCTACGAGTTTCATATATTTGAATTAGTTTTAATATTCGACTTTACTTTTCAAACTTCGTAATATAAGAGAGAGAGAGAGAGAGAGAGGGAGGGAGAGAGGGGGGGAGAGAGGGGGGGAGAGAGAGATGTAGTTTTATGTTGATACATGTAACTAGCGCTTTTCACGTGAGATTGGATTATACAATTTAAGGTGGCTGTGTTTGAGAGAAGTTCTTCGGGGGAAAGAGAAGTGACGTGAGTCCTTCGATTATTTATCAATCAATTCGATGTTTGAAATACTGTGAAAATCACTCAGGGCAAAACGAATGTATCACTTCCTATAATTCAGATCAATCAGATGTGAATTTCCTCTTTTCTGTGCAGGCCCTCAGAGAAAGATTTTGAATCGTGTTTTTGTTTGCATGATTTCGTGCACCCAACAAGCGGGAAAATATACAAAAATTCTGAACCTACGAAAGGTTTTTTTTTAAATTTTAGTCTTAAACAATCTTACCATATTTCGGACTTTACAATACTTTATATAAAACAAGTACGAAAGAAATGCTGAGAAAATTTAATCAGCAAATCGGGTTCGAATTTCACCTGAGGTTGTTTGTGTCTAATTGGCACAGTTGCTCTCGTTCTTGGGGAAAGTACGAATTCACCTCCATATACTCTATTCCGTCGCTAGATATCTTGAAAAAAGGAAGATCTTGTCACTGGTATGCCACGATGTTTGATGAAGAAGAAAATGAAGCAAACCAAACGACAACAATAGCATAACTGCCAGCCTTGACAATGTTTTTTTTTAATGCTGCCAGTCAGTTGAATTTGAAAAGATAAATGACGCTTACCAAGTTACAAATAAATACACTAATTTCACACGAAGATGTCATAACTTCCTGCCAACATTCCCTTTTATTTTCAAGATAAAGTATGTATAGAAAACATGGTTCGTGGACAAATTATTAAGCAGTGTCATAAGTAATTTCCTTTTTGGTGAACCAATTGTAATGACGAATGTATCACCCTAACCTTTCCTTAAAGAGGTGATGAAAAATGGGTTACATACAACAATGTTCAACGCAAAAGCAGTGATTGGCAATGATAAATCTAGAGAGTCGATGTCCAAAAACCGAGTTCCATCGAAGAAAGTTAATGTTGTGCGAGTGGTAAGATCGTTATTTAGAGTTCTTAAAACGCAATGAAACACTAAATGAACATTTATACGTCCAGCAGCTGCAAGGTGTCCATAAACGTTTAGTCAAAAAGCTCCCTGTTGCTCGTCAATAGAAAAATGTTGCTTAGCTCAATGACAACACAAAGCTGCTTACAGCAAGAATGACAATTTCGAACTTGACTGTTCTATCCCACCTACCTTATTCAACTGACCATGCACCTACCGATTATTACCTCTTTTTCATAAATATAAAAACCTTTGATGGGGAAAATTTTCTCTAATGAAATCCAGATTCAAGTGTTTGATGAAAACATCTTCACGTCAAAACCGGAATTTTAATGAAAAGGTATCGAAGAGCTGCCTGATAAGCGTCAACAAATCATTGCAAATAATGGTGAGTATATAATTAAATAAAATATAACTGTTCTTCCTTTTTACAAGAATAAAGTTGATAAACAAAGCGGAAATTTATTATTAAACCTAATAATTACGTTTTTCGAAACAACCTTGATTGCTGGACTTTGATCCCAGGTAAAAGGAAAGATTCTGTAGATTTTCTAGAAAAAAATACATCCTTTCCGCTTGGAAAACAAAGGAAACAATCTTTTTATTAAAACTTGATCCTGTGCTAAGCTAAACTTAGATAGATAGATAGATAGATAGATAGATAGATAGATATAGACAACTGCTAATAATATATGTAAGTACCGCCTATGTTACTATGTTAGTTCACGACGTCAGAGGCGGATCTTCGTATAAGTTGAAAGATCTCGCGGAACCAACAACAATAATTTGGTGTCCTTGTTATAAATAGAAATATGACAAAAACTCGTCTGACATGAAAATACGTACGAAGAAGAAATATGTCATTGAATTCCTCCATGCGGAAAAATTGAATTTTTGACATTAAACTACGCTAGCTGAAATTTTACGGTAACCAAATAGTGTATGTGAACACAGGCAATGTGAAGAGAGTTTCAGCAGTAATGACTGTGGTGTATGACACGTGACATTTCAGATGGTTGTCCACCCACGATATGGAAATTCATAGCTAATGGTGGTGGCTGTGGTGAAAACTAGTGTTTCGTATCTGAAAACTTTTTCTATTCAACGGTATTATTTTCTCCCTGTATCTGTAGTAGTTTCCATGAAAATCAACTAGATGCATTACTTTCGGCGCACCCTCGTATTATTTAGCAAAAGTTGGAATCGAATAAAAGTGAGATATATTTCAAATAGACATCTTTAACGTTAACGGCCTCTATCGCATCAAAATCGATATGGAAAGTAATTCGAAATACATAAACCTTATTGGTCCTGATAGATTCTTTCATGTGAACAAATATAAATAAGAATTTCATGACGGATAATGACGTGTAATGAAAATGTCTTTTTGACGCGCTGCCACTGTCACCTCGCAGTTGTTTCCCGTTTGCAACCGGGCAACCATCGTGTGTTGTCGCCGTGTCACTCCGCCTTTTAACTATTTCCGCACACCATCATTTATTACTACTCTTCTTACGTGTCCTCCACACACACACACACACGCACGCAAACGCATACATAAAACTAAAATATACTTTCAGCTTTTCAATTCGACATGCAAATATAATGAAAAGCCTGCTTGGTGGGTTAGGTAGTTGTCTATATTCTAAATTATTAAAGGAAAAAAAACAAAACTACAGAGCTGTCATGTTAACCACATTATATGATGTCGAATCCTGAGTCATCTACCGCCATCGACTTTGCCTTCACCTATTTGAACACTTCCATCAGAGCTACCCCAGTACAATCCTTAGTTTCCACTGGGGCGATGTCGTTAGTAAGGCCAAAGATATGCCGCACAAGTTACTTATCGAAGTGGAAAAACTGTTGTTTATCGCAGGTTTTACTGTTCAGTAACCTGTCCATTGTTCAGCGAGACAAAAGAGCATGATAGAAATACAAGAAAAAAATTAATCTCCTCTGGTATCAACTACCACTAGTGACAAACACAAGAAATCACGGTAACAGTTTTTTTTGCTATGTCTTTTATGAGAAAATCTACAGAATTGGAGTCGATGAAAAGAGTAACAAAACGAAAGTTTCAGTAAAAATTAATTCTTATACGACTTCTCAACATTCCGCACTTCCACCAACAGTCGACAAATGAAGGCATCTCGATTACCCAAAATGAATAATTAGTGTGAAACAATCGTTTTTACTTCATTTAACCATTTGATTTTAATCATTTTTGAAAATCAAATGTTTATTTAAAATTCTCATGACGCCAACAAATATTAAAATATTAACTTACTTTTATTCAGTTTATGATTTATTTATAAAATATTGATTACCTACTCGTATTGTTTTTAAAATTACTTTAATATCTTCTCTTTGTACATACATAATGTTTGCCATTTCGATATCGAATATGGGCATCACAAGATATGATTGTAAACCTCAATTGTACCTTGAACAGATATACTACATATATACACCGTAGATGATGGCTGAAGCCTCGTTGTTGAGTATTTTTAAGCGATTCGCCGCAAGCAAGGCGGGAGTGCCACTAGTACACAAAGGGCTACAGAGAGTGTAAGTAAGGGAAAAGATTGGATGTAGGGAGTGGGTGAGGAAAGGATAAAAAGAAGAACGGGAATCAAGGCAACAGATGTCGATTGACATTACATTTAATTTTAGATTTTTAAAGATTATAGTTATCAGGGAAGCAAGAGAAAAGGAGTTACACTGTCGGCAAAAGCGAGAGAAGAAGCTGTTGGAGTAGAAGAGGCGGTTACATTTAACTGTTTCAACAGTAAAGAGGTGGGACCGAGGTACCAACCTAGTAGCACGCTTAAATCCAAGCAGTCTGGCCACCAGTGAAAATAGCACGTCAGAGCAGATTCCATGAAAATATTTATAGAAAAGACAGAGGGAAACCACTTTACGTCGGTGAAAAAGTAACTAGAGTTTTTGGATTTTGTCGAGAAACTCGAGATGAACAGCGCGAGAACTAGACCATATATGACAACATTATTCTATGCAGGGATGAAATGATAGATTTGTAGATGTGAAGGACGGAATCAGACGAGAAAAACATTCTGGCGCGACAAAGAGAACCAAATGTCCTTGCGGTAGATGCAGGAATTGATTCAATGTAGTCGCTCCATCTCAAGTCAATAGAGAAAGTGAGACCAAGAAGGCGCAGTGAGGCGCTTTCGTGGAGTTCAGCATTGACCATGCTGACAGGAGGCAAGGGCGTTTCTCTATGGTGAGTAAATGACAGTAGTTTGTTTTGGATGCGTTAAAATTCACAAACCATATCTTATCCTAGTCAACCATATATTGGAGGTCATTTACGAGACCAACAGCTAGGTTAAATTGTCACCAATACCGGATTTACTATTGAGACAGGAGTAAATGGTAGTGTCGTCTGCGTAGATGCCGACTTGAGAAATAATGAAGATCAGTAACAGTGTAAGACCAAGGATAGAGCTTTGCGGAACACCAGCGCTCGTATGCAATGAATTCGAAGAGAAACCGTTCGGGACAACCTTCATTTTACGGTAAGACAGGAATACCGTATCCTTGAAGCTTACGTAGAAGACCAGCATGCCAAACCCTGTCAAATGCCTTGAATATATCTAGAACAACAGCTCGAGCTCCGCCGTTATTATCAAGAGCTTGGTATATATATTCAGTTATGGCCGTAAGCACATCAGCGGTAGACCGGGCAAAGCGGAAACCATATTGTTTGTCAGAGAGCAGAGCGTAGGATGTGAGATGCTTAACTACTTCGCCATTGTTAAAGCTCCAAGTCTTTTCCGAAGAGTTGTATGAAACTGATAAGACGGTAGTTAGATGGGTCAGAAGGGTCTCCAGAGTTCTTAAAGACCGGGACGGCAGAAGAGGACTTTCAACAGGCTGGAAAGCAAGAATCAAAAGCAAGAGATGATGTCTAATACCATCGATGGGGTTATGCACATCTCACTCAGTATAAACTCAGTTCTAGGGAGAATATCAAGTGTGGGTACCCCGGATGGGTCGTGTGTTGAGTTAGATGAGAATTTCCGAGCAAATCAGCTTTATCAGCTGAATATATTAGGACTTCGAATTGATTGAATAAAGGAGGGATTGAGGATTTGCTGTAGTTGTAGTTCAGTACACTCTTGCAGAGCCGTCAATAATCTTTAGAACCAAACTTGTTTCAATCTATCAGCAAACAGTAACTTTGCATCATTGAGGATACGCTTGCACTCATTACGAGCAGAGACAAAGAGACATCTGTTGAAACCAGACATGTCGCTCCGGTACAGACGGAAGAAATGATTCCTATGGGCTATAGCGGTAGAGCAAGTAGGTGAGAACCAAGGTGAGCGCAATTTAACTTGATATTTTCTTGCTTGGATAAAAGCCCTGATGCCGGTTCTTACTCAGGAGGAGACCTCAGATGCACATTTTTGTACGGGATGATTAAAAACCACATTACAGGGGACGTCGTGAAGGAAAAGACGGAACGAGTACAAGTCTGCGCGTTGACAAAAGAAAGATATTCTGTTAGTAGGAGGTTCATGGCTAGAGGAGGGAGTGGAAGGAAATGTTAACAGACACCACCGCGTGATCAGAGTTGCCAAAAGGGCAGAGCTGCGTAGCGCGACAAGAATCAGAGATGGAGGTAAAACAGAGATCGAGAAAGAAAGCATTATCGCCCGGGTTACTGGGAAAACGCGTAGGAAAATCAACCATTTCATGGAGGGATTAAGTAATTGAAAAGTTAAGGGTTTAGATGCCAGCGAGGTCAGTCATAGACTGTTTAAGACACATTGTATGGTGGGCGTTAAAGTCACCGAACACGAATATGTTTGAAAACAGGTGTAAAGAGATGGCTTTGTCTACATTATCAGAAATGCTATCGAGTAAACAACAATATTGAGAGGAAGGGGGACGGTAGAGAAGGAAGAGATAGTTTACTGAATTGAGGAGATATAGACGGAGACACATATACGAATGATCTGGAGATTCCAAAGAGAGTTCTCTAGCCAACGGGAGATGATCGTGGACATAAACTCACAGGCCATACATGTAGGTTTTAGAGTCCTTTCAAAGGAGAGCAAGGTAGCCAGGAACCAAGAAATCAGAGGAAGGGGTTGACAAGTTAAGGTTAGTCTCGCAGAGAGCTAGTAAATCAGGAGAGTTATCAAAGAGGAACTATTCCATACTGCAGAAGTTGGTACGAATACCACGGATGTTGGGGAATGAAATGTTAAAGTGTTTAGGTGATTTTTTATGAGCTGGTTTAGGTTTGTATTTTTGGTCGCTAATGGCCGTGTTGACTTACGTTGGTAAGGAAAAGGCTTAATAGAAGGCTTAATAGAAGCAGTCGGTCATCAAATGTGACACATCGCAAGAGATTCGCGACAGCACTACTTTTAAGACTAAAGAAAAGGAAAGGATCCAGAAAGCCCTTCCTAGACAGGAAACAAGGGATGAGCCTCTACTCCTGTTCAAAAGAAGAGGGAGAAGTATTAACCAGGCGATAGGAAAGACTATCTACTTCTATTAAACACACACACACACACACACACACACACACACACACACACACACACACACACACACACACCAGAAGCAGACAAAGACAAGCAAAAAGCAAAAACAATGACAACAGCAAGAACGGGCACGGAAACACAACTGGGAAGGTAAGCT